AKRGMSARAGRGMAASGRYAACGATAACGACAACGACAACGGCAACGACAGCGGCCTTTCGACCCGTTTCCACCAGAATGAACGGAGGCGCATCCAACGGCAGCGACAGCGACAGCTCCAGCGACGCCTGCGAGGAAGAAAGCACTAGTACTATTACTAGTAGCAGTATTAGCAGCGACAGCAGCAGTAACAGTGACAGCGAATCCTCCTCGGACAGCGAACAGTACTCGCTGTCACCGTCTGCTCCTGTCAACGGGGCAGGACGCAGCGGCAACGAGGACGACGACGAAGCCAAAGACGACGACGAACCCAGAGACGACGCCTACACTTCGGCGGTGAGGGAGTGGGTGGACCGCGTGCCGATCGCCCTGAACCTCTGCCCGTGGGCGAGGCTSTCCCGGAACAACGGGCGCACCCGGTGCGTCACCTGTCCCTCGGCGAGCAAGGGGGGGGTTTCGGTTTTTCTGGAGGAGGAGATCGATCGGCTGCTGGATCCTTTTCGCTTCCACCGGCCSTGGACCACGACGCTGGTGGTGTGCCCCCTGGTCGGGGACTGGAAGGAGGACTTTGGCGCCTTTGACAAGTACGTGGGGGAGTTTGCGGAGGAAGTGCGGAAGCGGAAGCAGCGCAAGGAAGAAGAGGAACAAGACGGTTCKTCTTKYCCCGGTGTTTCGCTGGTGGCCTTCCACCCGTTGTTTCTGCGCTGGAGGGGCCTCCCGGCAGGGGTGGGGGTCGGCTCCCGCGTCCTTTGCCACGCCGGGAGGAGCGGCTTTTCCAAGAGCAAGGGGGTCTACCCCGCGACCGTGGTCGACCCCCGCCCGGAGCTCTTTGGCCAGCGGCGGATCAAGGTGCGCTTTTGCGGTGCATGCGAAGGCAGCGGGGACAACGGCAAAAGAAGCAGGGACACAAGGAKYACCGAAAGGGCGGWTCCAGACCGAACCCCCGAACACCCCTTCGAGGGGAAGGAGCAGTACGTGCCGGTCGACTGGGTCGTCCCCGGGGACAGAGAAGGCGAACACGAACACGCAAAGAACGAAGGGCCGCCCCTCTCGGACAACGCCATGCACCGGGCGCCCTTCCCGGTCGTGCACCTGATCCGGAACGAGGACCTTTCGTCCCTGTGTGCCCGGGACGTATCGCGGCTGAAGCGGAGGAACGCCCCGGCCATGATGGGCCTGTCGCTCGATGAAGTGTGACGGGATCGTTCAAAGTGCGATGGCATGGCACGGTAGGGTAGGGTAGGGTATGGTAGGGTATGGTAGGGTATGGTAGGGTATGGTAGGGTAGGGTAGGGTATGGTATGGTATGGTATGGTATGGTATGGTATGGTATGGTATGGTATGGTATGGTATGGTATGGTATGGTATGGTATGGTATGGTATGGTATGGTAGGGTATGGTATGGTATGGTATGGCATGGTATGGTATGGTATGGCATGGTATGGCATGCGATGGCATGCGAGCGACGGGCTGGGCTTGGGTGCAGCGGGGTCGAAGCGGAATTCGTACCGATGCAAACCATTCCTGCTTTGGCACAGATGCGAACGAACCTCACGAAGAAACGACTCACCGATTCACGGTCAAGGTCGGAAWCCACTCCTTACCAAGCAAATGCTTTGGAGCTTGATCCCAAGTACGAGTACTGTACGAACCAATGCGTATTGGATTCCRTAGAGCACACAAAGCAGAAGAAGAAGAAGACACTATGTTTTTGCGAGCAGGAACGACATTGTATTCCCATCGCAAAATGGGCGCTGGACCAACAACGTCCCGCATTATAATTCAGTTACAGTGCTCAAAAACAAARCTCGTCGTTCAATGATGTGGCTGATTGTTGTCCATTTGTCGGGCATGGGGAGTGTKKCCAGTTCTTTCTYTAGAWCCGSCTGAMAGAAAACCTGCGACAGCGWCGYATMGCTATGCGAGTGCCAATCACGGCGACTSTTTTGGGCCAAACCGATTCATGCTATCCATCCAGCTGCGTTGATRTTGTTGTGGCGCTATGCCTCACAGCGAGGTTTGATTGCCATAAACAACAAACCTTTCCCTCGGAAACTAAAACGGGAACACGCACCACATAACTATTGCAAAATATATATGTTGCTGATACCGATTGCTCTTTTTGCATGCTTGTGTCGCCGGTTGCTTCACTGCCTGGATTGTACGATACGCGACCGAAGGTTTCTTTGCTCCCGAAGATTTTGGTCCGATCGAACCACATCTAGGTGGGATACAAAACCTCGTGKMCGGGCCGTTGAAAAGACATTCCCGGACTTTTTAAAGCTCGACCTAAATGACATTCCCGGACTTTTTTAAGCTCTACCCATAGGATTAAARGTTTTYCAATCGTACATAAGAGACACCCTCCTTGTCTGTACCCGTTTTTCCAGGATAGTTCAAAGACTTTCTGTTAGCAACTTCAATGTACTTATGACTCAACGGATCGCAAAGAGGAATACTTATGCAAAACAAGCAGAACTTGGTAGAACTTGACCATAAAACAATTCTCTTGGGCCTTTCAAAAACACACTTTTACTATTGCCTWCTTCACGAAGCGTCAACTTACACCGCCATTAGATTCGCAAACCCGTACTTCTGGTCTTAATTTTGCGCCATGAAACTTGATAAAATATTGAAAATAACACTTGGCGACAAAAATACCTGTGCAGTTGTCGTACCACCGCTACATACACGATAGAAAAGATGGCACCCGTACTGCTAGTCATGATGGATGACCCTGCATACAACCTTCCTTTGAAATCTACCGTACCTGGTACCGTCCCGTACGAATWACAACGGCAATAAAGCGAACACAAAAACTGCATCGTTTGAGTATTCGTTGTTACAGTTGCGTTCTCATCATAAATCATAAGTTGCGTTCTCATCATAATTCATTTCCCTGTCACAAAACGAAATCCTCAATAGGAAAAGAACCTCCTTGGTGCCGACAGTCCAAGATCCCGGAATAGAGCTTCTTCACACTCATTTGTTACCGAAACAAACACAAAACGAAAGAAACACTGTAACCATGCCTTCGAAGATCACTCGCTCGCTTTCCAAAAAGCTCAACAAACTCTTGTTGGCATCGTCCACTGCGACGGACTCCCCCGCGTTCGACCACCAGAGCGGCGAGGCTTGTACAAAGGAACTTCCGGTTCGCTGTTCGGAAGAACCAAAGGAGGCACCCATGGTCTCGGACACCAGCTCCGACGAGAGCTCCAGCTCGGAAGACGAGGGCGATGGCGTTGCCAAGTACGGATACGGAACCGCGGTTCACACCGAGCAGGTTGCCGCCGCCCTCCTCAACGCCAGTGGACACTCCCGGGCGAAGCGGTTTGCGGGGTCCTCCAGCCCGGTCTCCCGGCAAAAGAGAAGCTTCCGCATCCGCAAGAGGCCCTCCATCCACAACAAGGAGGACGTCCACAACACCGAACTCCCCTTCCATCCCCAGCGGATGCCCCAGCGGAGCTCCCTCAAGGGATCCCGGAGCAGCCAGAGCGGTGCAAACATGGCGGCTGCTGCTGCCGCCGCAGCCGCGGCCGTTGCCAGCGATTCCGACAGCGAGCTGGACGAGGAAGATCTCGCGGCCGTGCTCAGGGCCGCGGGCCAGATGCAAGAAGCGGCCAAGGCCGACAACGGAGCCGACGAGATCAACGTCATCGAGGTCCAGCTGCCCGGCCGGAGGGGCTCGATCAAGCGCCAGCGATCCCTGCGGTTCAACGAGGAGGTCAACGTCCGGAACGTGGTTCCCGCCAAGCTCCTCTCGAAGGACCCCGAGAAACTCTGGTTCCAGGACGAGGAATACCAAAGCATCAAACGGAAAACCCGTGCCCTCCTCTCCAGGGTCGACTCCAACGGCATCGTGGACGGCAAGAGGTACTGCACCCGGGGCCTGGAGCGGTACATGGTGAACCAAGCCGAGCGGGACGGCATGAAGTACGGCGCCTGGGACTCGGTCTTGCTCGAGCAGCGGCTCCAGCGCAAGGAGGGAATATTTTGCGACGAGTCGATCGCAAAGCTCTACAGCTACATTGCCTCGAAATCCGTACAGGACGCCACCCAACAAGCCTTTATCGACGCCAACGAGGTGGCATCCTTTTACGAGCAGGACGAAACCATGGAAGAGGCCGAGAACACAAAAGATACCAAGCCGAGGCTACCCACGAGGCTCCGATCGTTCCGCCGGGCTACTGTGGCGTGAAACGCAACCAACCGTGTGCGGTTGCACCGACACTGCACCACCCGATTTTAAATACAACCATAGAATTCAACAATTTTCAAACCGCAAACGAAGCTTGCCGCAAAAGCTATTGCTGTGAAGTATTTTAGTCAAAGCATAAAAAGAATAATACTAGTACTCTCATTTTTTGACCTTCAACACTTGTAATCTCGACTCCTTTGAAATCCTTCATTACAATAGTCTCCTGAAACGAAGCTTGGCGTTWAAGCTATAGTATGTCAGCCACGAAGCATTAAAAAATAACAATCGTACCCAAATTTTTTGACTTGTCAACCCTGTAATTCCTTCCAAATACTGAATTACAAAAGTCGGTCGCTCCCTTGCCGTATTTGACTCACAAACAATACGCTGCATATACACTGAACCAATGAGACAAAAAACAATTTGTGCTTTTCCTAGTAATCAATGGACCGGAACGAATAAGTGAATGTCATCGAAAGTTTTTTTGGTATGCACTGGTGAGCTTCGAACAACATTGTATTAATTTTACAGCGGATTCGTATTTTTTCTTTCAGATTCCGTCTCGTCAATGCATACCGGTCGGAACCACCTGTTGCAATACGAGTTTCATTCTTGGCTTTTACGTGCTATCCTTTTTCTTGTGCGTGGAGAGAATTTTATGAGACGAATGAGATGAATTGTGACGACCAAGCCAACAGACCCGATGAAACTCGTCGTTTCGATTTGTTCAAAAGGCCGATGGTCATGAGCATTTGTTCTCACTTTGTTGTGTTGGGAAAGTGGTACCAGAACCAAAATTTAGCGGTGCGAGTCTGTCGACTTTTTTTTCGACGACCAAAAAACATGAAATAAATTGGCATAGTGCCGCTGTTTTCTTGACCATCACAAATATGGGCATGCATTATTATGAATGCATATGCGGACCCCTCTGGCCGCTGTTTAGGGCGCCCTCCTCAGTGCCAATCCCTGAAAGACAGACGGTGGCTGGAAGAAGGTGAACCAGCCGTAGCCGACCGTCAAGAAAATCATAAATATGATCTTCATGACGCCGACGAATTTTCCGGAGACCACGCCCGTGTTTGAGGTGTGCTCGTTGATCAAAGAGATCGTGCTGAGCAGGAAACAAATGAAGTATGCCTGGACAAATGCCCGTTTGATCTGTCCGTCGTTGATCTTCCGCGACCTGTGGATGATCAACCCCTGTGCTAGAATCAGAGCACAGGTGGGGCGGAGTATGGCCCGGGCGACATTGTATTCGCGGTCGCTCTCCGTAAGAAAGACAACGTTCATCGTAGATGGAAAGAAAAAACCGATCAGCCCGACCACCATGGAAACGGACGAGTGGACCATGAAGAGCGTGTCCAGACGCTTGCGCGGCGACAAATAATACGACAGGTCGTGGTTCATTTTGGATGGTTGGATTTTAGTTGCTTGGTTGTGGAGAGAACWGTGTCGAAAGCAGGTGTAGCTGTTTGTGCGTGTTTTCTGTATTTGGTGGGTAGATGGTAATTGCAGCTAGCTATGTAAAGTCCTCTTGACGTACGTGATGAAATGCGACAGAGAATGTCGACAACAATTTTTTTTCAAAATTAATGAAGCTTTGTCGTTTGCAACGTGATATGTTTACCGTTGTTGTGGTCATGGAGGTGTCACTCTGGCAAAGTAATGAGAATCGCTCGAAGCGCTTCAGATGCAGAGAGAATAGTACTAAGTGCTCTACCGTACGTGAATCTACGTCACGATACAATGTACTACTACTCATGTACCGGTACGTCTTCAGATACACTTTTTTTCCTAATTTTAACAATATTTCGGAGGTATGACATTATGAAAGGGCAATACTGAACAGTATAGAAGCATTCCATTGGTTCGTGGAGCAACGACTTTATTTTTCAATCACAAGTAAATAAGTATTATTGATAAATTCTTTCTGCGCTTACGTCACAATCGTACCATCCAGGGTGCGAAAATGAAAAACTCGTAACGTTAGGTAGTGGGAAATAACTGTAAAGTACATAAWTAAATAATCATAGAAGAAGCTTCATTCAGCTTCATCTCTTATTTTTTTGGTCGACGTCTCTTCGTTTCGCCTTGATTGCAAAGTACGATTTCGTACGTACGTGCGGGTCTGATCCGAAACGAGGAAACTTCTTGCAAATTTTATTCTCTCGTGAAAAACGAAAACTTCATTTCACAGACCGATCGACACATAGTACTAATATTACTTCATACTAGTTGTCCATCAACTCCTGCTGCAATAGCTGACTTCGATCGCTACAGGCTACAACACGCAAAACCATGAAGCTCTCTGTCCACAACAACACCCACCCCCTGCTCGCGGCGCTGCTCGCCACCTCGCTGTTCATGTCGAAGGTGTGGTCCGCAGAGGATCATGACATGTTTGGGGTGCCTCTGAATAAGGTCACTGTGCTTGGACCTATAAGCGGTTATTCCTCGCCTGACTGGAAGCCAGAAGAGATCGATGACGTCGAGTATCGATACCTGGAGGAACTTATCTACCCCTCCATTGATACCTGGGAAGAGGAGTCCTATAAGACGTGGTGCTTCAAGGATGGCTTTCAGACCTGGGAATCAGTGCCCGGCAACCAGACTATGGAATGCACCTCCCGATTTAAACACGTCAACCGTAGAACCGTCAATATTACTATCACGCGCAACTACGGAATTTGCGTGGGCAAGCCGGATATTCACGGCACTCCTGAATTGCCCTTTAATGAATTAATGCAGGCTATGGGGTTGATATGCGATGACTTCCTAGTCAGCACCGAAGCTGCTCCCGTCACCGATGACCAGGAGTCGACCGCTCCCTTGATCGGCGTCTTTGCCTCGGCCTCAATCGCCGTGGGCATGGCTGGTGCTGCAATGATTTTGTAGAAATCACGAGCATAAATGACAAGAAACTTAACGGCTTCTTGTCCCTCTCTAGTTCTGGTAGCCTCATCAATTACCATCATCCTTAATCTCAGGTCTCCAAGGGGTTGCATTGATGAAGAGAGGTGTTGAAATGGACTAGAAAGCTTGATATGATGAAGGTTGTAAGCCAGAGTGAATGCCAAATACTTCAAAGAATGGAAAATACCACCCTTGTGATTGTGGGATTTGTTTCTTCGTCTGTGTAAACAAAATTACCAGCACCACCATTGCTCGTGGAAAGATAACTTCAAAGCAATATGCAGTGGCAAGTATGGGACTATTGTGTTGTCTGTGTAGAAGAAGCAAAGCATAGATATCGTAACTCATCAGTGAGGAGATTGAGGAAGTTGCCATTGATTAGTATGAAAATGTCAAGGAATGGTTGCAAAAATTGCAATGTTGCTGTATGCAAAGAGCATTGGAGTAACTTCAACCATCAAGTGCAGCGATGTGTTATAAACAAATATATTCGTTTTTTGTTAAAATATATTCTTAATATATTGTTTATTGATGAGAGGGGTTTGATAAGTACTATACTAGTGTAGTAGTAGTAGTAGTAGTAGTAGTGGCAAAGGAAAAAATCCTAAATTTTCGGGTGGCGACGGGAAAAAGTTGGAGAGGAAATTTCAATAATGTAAAAATCATGCTCTATGTGTGCATATTAGGTAGATAGCAAGTTAACTTGCTCACTTGGTGCATTTCTGCATTTCCAGTCGAAGTGGGTCGGTTCGTTCCTCATACTTGCTGTCCGTCTTTCCATCCCATCCACGGTAGCCGTGAAGGAGGCTTGTCGGTTCCATGAATGGGCGCCGACAGTGAAAGGGGTGCATCCCGTTCCTGGTCGTCTCCGTTGTGCTGCAGGTTGACGTTGTTCTTGTAGTTATTGTCAGGCCCACGCTGCTGCTGTTGCTGTTGCTGCAACTGTAGCGAGGAAGCGGAAGAGTTGCTACTCGTGCTCATAAGCGAACGGCTGCTTCCCCCTCCGTGCATCGAACACCGATCGATTGTTACTTCACGGCGGTCTCCTGCCATTCGGTCGAGRAATGGCAAGACATAACGCCTGCCAAAGCCCTTCATCCGATCGGTGACATTGTGGTTGAATTTRTTTCCCCCGGTGGCGGGCAATCGGTTCTGGTGCGGGGAGAGACTAGGGGACAACGGATCGGTGTCGTAGTCGATGCTCCGTACCTTTCCCCGCCGGTAGGCGTCGGACCGAGATTCCCCGGAAAATGCAATCGTTTGCGAGAGCCTGAGTGACGCCTCGACCTTCCTAGCGGTCGGGGACAACGGGCACCTTGGTMGCGGCGCCGAAGCTCCGGTCCCGCTCCTGCCGCTGTCGTGGCTATGGAAACTGCCGTCGGCATCGCATTCGTCCTCGCCCGCGCTCTCGTTGCCACCCCTTGCAGCGCCGGCGCCTTTGTCTCCCCCCGTCGGTGCATTGGCCCACTGCTCCAGGGAGTTCCTGGCGCCCTTGACCAACTTGTTGGGGGCCTCGAACTCGGTCCCTAGGACGGAGACGCCGCTGCACAGCAGAACCCCCCCCAGCGGGTGGAAGACGAGGCCGACCCCGATCATGGCTCCGCCCCCGATGGCAACGCTCGCCCGCTTTGCCTGCTTGCGCATCCAGGCCCCTCGATCCCTGCGTCGTCCCGAGAACCGATCCCTGCCCCTTCCGCGGAACGAGGAAAAGAGGTGCGATTCCTCTTCCTGCTCTTGCTGCTTGCGCCTGCGCTCCTCCAGAAGCTTGCGGGGATTGAGGGCCATTACGTCGATGGTTCCAAAGGCACCAATGCCGTAGCTCGCCAGCAGCAGCTCATTGGCTTCTTCGATCGTGGTTTCTTCGACGATCGGGTGTCCGTTGATGGCAAGAACAATGTCCCCCTGGTTCAGTATGGAGTGCGCAAACCACCCGTGCGGATCGATCCTGTCGATCTGTATAAAGGAAAGGGAGGGTTTGGGTTTGGGTTTGCGTGGAGGGTCTTGTTGGTAGTTGGGGTTTTCTGTCGATAATGGCAAGGAGGACGATGCTTCGGAAGACGCATC